ATAGTGATGTTAAGACTTTTGAAAGCACTGCCTGTGAAACCTGCTGTCTATGTGGTCTTTCAGGGCTGCACTCTGTCACTAACAGATCTTCTTAGCTTTGTCTCTGGAGTTAACCAAAAATCCCTTTCTATCAGAGGGATAGTTTGCAGGAAGAACAGACCAGAAAAGGATGCTACAGGAAAAACAGAACAGAAGCAGGAAGTGAAAGTGCAGCACTAAATAACAGGAATGAGTAGGACTACCACAAACACCGCTAAGCAAATATTATCCTACTTGAAAGGAAACGGTAATATTCATGGGGACGTATGCACAGAAAATATTCTCCGGTTGCTTGCTCACATTTAATTGGGAGCAAAAGTGTTTTTCAGGGRAGGGAGACCAGTTTTTGACAAAGYGGAGTGTGATTTCTGCTTCTAGACAACTGCTGTTGTCTGGAATAAACATTAAAAAAAATCATGGTCTCAGAGGAAAAGAGAGCAAACCCCTTCAGACAGACAAAACTGATGGAGCACATTGCATTTTTAGACTCATAAAATGTGATGGCTGGCCAGTTGGCTACTTTGTCTGCGGAAAGGAAGCCAAGTTGCTCCTTCCTTCCTTTCAAGAAAGGTACAAATCCAAGCCTGTTCCTTCTAGCCTCCTGACAGTTTTATTTACCATGCAACCTGAAGGAAGTGGATATTGGTACAACCTGTCATGCTTGGTCGTAAATCAGTAGATTTACAAGCTATCAAAAAGACTGATAGAGGAAATAATTGTGTGTTTTGTTTCCTTAAACTCTATAATCTTAAAAATAACTTAGATGTTATTAAATAACTTATTAGTGATAGAGTGACTCTAGTCACCTGAGCAGCTGTTCTTTTATCAGAATATATGTAATAAATTTAAGATCTTTTTTGGCACACATTAGTGACTGAATGTTGGAGTAGTGAAGATAAAAATCTGACTTACAGTGTACAAGTGGTTAGAAAATTCCAGTTCTAAAATAACAGTCCTTGATCAAAGGAGCATGGTTGCAGGGCAGGCTGATTAGAAACTGAAACATTAATTATAGCTAAGGATTAAGCATACCTCTTATCTACACTTAAGTAAAAAGTAATAAAGAAGCAAAGACTTGTCTTAAGGCCAAGTCTCCTGAATTACTACTGACAAAGCCTAAAGCCTTTTAACACCAAGAAATTTTAGTGTGCCAGCAAGYGTTTGTGCTGATCTAAACACCAAGCCCTGGCCATTTGAAAAATGGTGTAAGAAGGAACCACACATAGGAAGGCCTAACTGAAATGAATATAAAGCATTTTGCATTGCATACAATACACACAAACTGAATTACGACCGCTGAGGTCTGACACCACCTGCTAGAAGTAGGTGGGATGGTTATTCTGGGACTCGTCTCCTTGTGAGTCACTGCTCCACAGAGAGCTGTAATACAAGTGCAAACCTTACACATTAGGACATGTAAGAGCAGTTAATCTGCAATTTATCTGCAATTAAGTAATAGCAGGTTCTTAGCTGACAAGCTCTGGTTTGGTCACCGTCTCTAACTCTTCAGGTCTGGTAGTTAAGAACTTTCTGTGAAAGACTGAAAAGTTTCTTGATTGAAAAGAATCTTGCTGAGTAGCAAGGGAAGGTGAAGKTTTGTGCCCTCACTGATAAAACAACAGATGAAGTGGTGGTAATTTGAGTCATCTAGCTTTAAGATTGTCAAGAAACAAAGGAATAAGATATGATACATAGAGCAACACTTCTAAAAAGTGATAAAACCACAACGTGGCTGGTCTGTGCAACTCATCAACACAGCTTACCACAGCCCAATACTGCAGGATTTGGAAGGATTACATATGTGAAATGCTAGGGATGATAGTTTCTCCATTAGAATGAAAATAAACATATGGTATAAAGTTTCCAGGCTTGCAAATTTCCCCGACCTTCAGCTGGGAGGGTTCAATAGGGCCAGGATTTTCCGAAAACCCTTTCCTAGGTTTTCTTGCACTTTTATCGGAAACCTCTAAGACCAGAGTCTGTTGGAGCTAATATGTCACATCAGAGTAAACGAACTAGGGCAATGAAAACATGTATATTTAATGTAAACTCATCTCCAGTCTTTGGTAATCAAGACCTGATCCATGAAAGCCCCCACAACCCTCTAAAGAATAAGATTAATTCTTGAGATGGAAGTCTTTCACAAGATTATTTGTACAGAGATGTAGAATTTCTATGCAAAAGACTAAGAAATATATGGAAGCTCAACTCTTATTTAACTTAACTGATTCACCCAAAGGCAATTTAAGTTTAACTCTAACAGCAAGCTTTCTCATTTTCCTGTCCTCCAACCTCTCCTCTTAAAGTCTGCAATTATACTGTTCCTCTAAGTATGAYAATATATCCTTTTTTGCTTATTCTTTCCACTTTCCTATTGAACAAAATGGCCAAAACATTTGAGAAAAGTAATGTGTTCTGTTTTCATACACTCAAATGATACAAACCCAACAGTCTAAAGATGTCTAAATGCCATGCTGTTAGAAAAGCAAAGTTTTATGTAGAAAATACCCCTTATACTTATAAAATTTAATTTCTCTTTTAGATGACTTTGGATAACTCATCTGGACTTGAGCTCAAAGAGCTTTGACTTGGCCCCCTGGCTCTGTTAGTCAACCTGAGCTTAGCATCTGACGCTACAGCTCGGTGCAGTCGGTGCTGAGGTAGAAATATGATGGTAGCGTTACCAGTAACCATAAGCTTGTAATTCTCTTGCCAAAGCCCTCTGTGTCTCCTGCCTTCCCAAATCCTACCATTACAGGTTTCAACAGCACACGATGCACAGAACATGTTTGAGTCTGTCCCTGTTCCATGCCTCGCCTTCCTGCAATGCTGCTGAGCATGCGTCGAGTGGAAACTATCCTTTGAGTGGTACTTCAGTACCTTTAGCTGCTGTGGTCTTCATCACGTCCCACTAGTAGCTACGAAAGGGCTCTGGCAGTGACTGAGCTTGCCTTTGGGAGGCTGTCACACTGAAAGCAGCAAAGCATCTGAATAAGCTTTTCCTTGTCTGTCTCCATTAAATAGACAATGTTGCATCATAGCTTTTCTAAATGCTTCTATCATGACAAATCGTGCTTCTCAGGCCGTGTTCAGGTCTGTAATAAGTATGGGTAAGCATGAGTGGCTTTGCATCTGCTTGGCAGCAGAGTGACCCTTTTGCGTCAGAGTTAGAGTCCACCCAGTCCTGTCCACCAGTGGAAAAAGCTGAGGGAAAGCTGGAGAGCAGAGTGAGCAGGCTGAGATGCATCCCTGTGTACCTCCTAGCAGCCTGCAGCTCTGAAATTATTAGCAGCAGAGAGGATGAACCTCATCTCTTCAGTCATCTCTCATAGGTTTCTCCTTCATGAATGCAGAAGGGTAGGTGCATATCCTTAGTCTCCACAGCATCCCAGAGCAGTGAGTTTCACAGTTAGTTTCCACATTCAGGAATTGTGTGTTTAAGTTTTCTGGCCAGTGGCACTCCTGTTGTTCTATGCTCCAAAAGCCTCAGAGCAGCAAGGAGGCAAAAGTGGCCTCAGGCAGGGCTGTCCTTGGTCTGGAGCAAAGGAGGCCGTTAGGCAGGTGATGGAAGAGCAGCTGCTTATTTCATGGCAAAATCCTGGAAAAACAAGATGTTGGCTGCCCTGCAGCTAGGAAGGAGACAGCGACTGCTGTGGAGGAAAGTTGCTTCCCAACAGCACTTGTTGCCAGGCCCACTTCTTGCCTTTCTTTGGCCACAGCAGAAACAAGAAATTTGACATCGACTTTTCATTCCTGCACTCCATTCCAGTTTTCTCTGGCCCCTGCTTTCCATATGGGAGAGGAAACTTGGTCTTGGACCCTGTGCTTAGAGGTAGCAAAATTCACTTTCTGGTATCCACTCCTGGCAGAAGCAAAGCTGAAGCTGGCTCTTCTACCTTGACACTCTACGTGGTGTTGCCTCAAGGCAGATGTTTGATCTGTCTTTGCAATGCACTGCAGAGCAGGTGCAGCGTTCAAAGCAGTGGGTTGGCATGCTCAATTGCAGTTTCCCTTTGAGTGGATCAGATGTTCTTGTCTCAGCAGAGCAATGTCTGTGAAAATGGTGGGAAAACATTGTTGCCATGTGCAACATGAACAACTTTCAGCCTTGAGAGAGCAGCAGTTCACTGCTTTGAACTACCTCCTTATGCAAAACGTGGCAACAAAGAGACTTTTTCAGTCCAATTTTGGTGATAAGTCAGATGACTATAGTGGATTTTTTTTCTTGCTTATTTTGGCCAATCTTGATTTTGCTTGCTCTGTTCTGGAAAGAAAAATGTTCTGGGTTTTGGTAAAGATGAGCAAATTTAACTGCAATATGGAGTACAAAATGGTTGTTATTTGGACATATGAAGAGATTTCTTAAATTTGCCTTAAACTGAGGCAGTAAATCTGAATCATCTGCTGGTTCTTGACAAAATTATACAACGATTGCCCACAATTGGGAATTTGGGTCGGTAGATCCTCCCTAACTGCCACCTTTTGGATGGTAATGTTGCGAACAATGAGTTGAGATGTTGAATGAAGAGAAGTTACATCTGAATTCTTTCTTTCTGCTCTGCTGAAAACTCTCCTGAGTCATGAGATACTCAAACAGGTTCTAGTCAGATAGATAGATGGCTAACCAGCTCTACTATACCAAAAAACTCTTTTCCATTTAAGGAAGGGATTTTATCAAATAACTGTTGATGAAAGCTATTACACAGAATCTAGATAAGAAGTTCTAAAATTACTTTGATGCCAAATGCATTTGGTTGTGCTTTCTGAGGACTCTTGTTCTCACTCTGCCAGTGGAAAAAAATGCGGAGAACATTTTATTCAGAAGTTGAAGCACTGATGTTTGGAGAGGGTGAAGGATACTTAGACGGGATGAACTTCTTGTTCCTCACTGACTCTATAGCATGGCAACAGACACAAGCAGGAAGCTGGAAGTCTGTTTATTCTTTTTCTTTCCCTGCTAGACTCCCAAAGGTACCTGTCTGGAGTCGGTGAAGATTGCCATTGATACTGGTTACCGCCATATAGATGGTGCCTTTGTCTATTTCAATGAACACGAAGTGGGGCAAGCCATTCGGGAGAAGATTGCAGAAGGAAGGATCAAGCGAGAAGACATCTTTTACTGCGGCAAGGTGAGAAATTGCACTCAGTTTATTTACACTAAATCTGAGATTTCTGTGAATGGACTTTCCGGAGAATGGCAGGAGTTAACATCTGAAATGCTTCTAAGGCCAACAGCCATTATTTACCTTTCCTAGTTATTTCCATATTGCCTCAAAACATTATAAACATATACGGTTTGTTGTATAACTCAGAAATCACTTTTGTACTCGGTTTATAGCTCATCTAGCAGTGGGAACGACGCAACAAGCATTCTGCCTGGTATCGTAGGTACTTGCATGTTTAGATCGTTGTGAGGCTCAGCAGTGCTATTACTGTCCCGCATGCTGCGTGGGCACCAGTGTTTGTATAGTCACACAAAAAGCCTGATCTGAACAATGATCCTGCAAATGAGTTATTTTCTGTTAGAACAATTCCCCATATAGGTTTACTATGAGATTGCACAATGAAAGGGGTAGGAGTAAGCACGTGTGTTAAGGTGCGTGTGTGCTGGAGAACAGCAAGTGCTTCAGCTGGTACTGCTGCGAGAAAATTACTCATCAAGCCACACCCTTAGTTACTGTATCTGTCATTAAGGAGCTCTAGGTTCATGAGTCGACTCACGTGCAGAGAACGGGTTACCATACTTTCTTTTTCAATCAACAAGACTATTCGGAGTAGTATATGAGCTACTGACTGTATTCAAACCCCAACTGTATGAGTTGATGCTCTACTGGAGAAAGGAAAGGGGAAACAGATAAAAGTTGGTACAAATACAATTCCCAGATCACAGATATAAGAGAGAGAGAGCTCACTGCCCATGTCTGGATAACCATCAGATACTCCAAGAACGTTAACAGTGCCTGTATAGTTTGCAATASTGTTTAATACCTCAAAATATTCTTCCTGCAGTGCTTCTTTAAGTCATATCAGCCTAATATTTTCCCTTTCTCCTTTCCCAAGTAAAAGGTAGTCCACAAAATTTACTCAACTCTTTTGGAAATAAACATCATAGTTCCTAGAATGAAAGATCCCATGGGAGAAAAGGTCTGTTCGGCTCAGCTGTGAGTAGTCTGGTCGGGCTCTATGATCTGGGAAACTAAGCTTCAGACTGGGAAGCTTGCAGATCAAGTGGATTATCAAAGTTATAGAGCAATTTCCAAGTAAAGCAATTTCCAGTCTGTTAAGTTTTCCTAGTTCCCTACTCAATTCTACTGGTAACAATTTTACCATGCCGAGCAAAGTTTCATGCCCTCGAATTTTCCACCTTTATCAGGGTAGTCTCTCAGCCTCTCATATGTCAAAAATGTTGATTCGAGTCAGTCAAAATATTTTGTTTAAACTGTTCTACAGCTTCATTACTGCAAATTACCAAAAACACAAAATTGTGCCAAAAATTTAGAACCAGATGTCCTAACAATGTTGAGTCCTTAACTTGGCCTCCTGCTTTCCCTGCTGTTTTCTACTCCCTCCCCCTTCCTTTAAACTTTCATGTTCAGCAAGTGTGCATCCCTTGTTAAAACGTTATTAGGACTCTCAACTTACTTTTTACAGTTAAGAGATTCTATATGAATTTGTTTGATCTAATTGCTAGTGGATTTTCCTTACCAGTTAAAAATTGAACCATTTATAAACATTTACAAACCATGAATAAACAAGGAAAAAGAAGATGCAATTACATAAGTTATTTTTTTCCCAGAAAAAAAAAAAAAAAACATTTCCCTAAACCATAAAATGAACCACCTAGCAGTCTCAGTGCTGCACTTCTCAATACTATGAGTCAAGACCTATAGTTTCAGGCTTACTTAAAATTATGAGTTGAGATACACATGGATTTGTGTTTCTGTTCTGTCTCTTGTCTATTCTTGACCACAGATTTAGACTCAGATGCTCAGGTTGACAGTTTGTTAGAGTACAACTATAATCTTAAAAATGCTCRAAGGAAGCAGCAGAAAGCATCCTACACCCAGTTAAGTCCATCACAGCCAGGGATTTTTACAGGTCCTATTGGACATTTACACAGTAGCAATGAACTCACAGGAAGAGTGTATCCCTGGATGTCCCTTACCTTACAAGCTGGTGTATCTTCAGCTTTATGTACCGTATGAGCTATAGGCAAATATGCAGCCACTAATCGATCAATGACTGGCATTAAGAGTTGCATCTTCTGGGAAATGTAGTAGATATAATTAGTCATTCTTGAAAATAGCAGGCACAACAAACTCGTGTTTGTTTTCAGCCTCTCAGAAAGCAGAAGTGCTGGAAATCCACAGCACTCTGGAGACTCAAGCACCTCTCACAGATCCTTCCTTAAACAAAGATTGTGCCCATCAAAGGCTGGTCCATCAGCAGTGACTAACGGCAGCTTCACCAAGTGGCAGTATTACTGGAATAGTGACTTTGTRTAATTGTGCTGCATTTCCCAGTTGAAATCATCAGCACTTGCACTTGGCTTTTGCTGCTGGCTGGTTGATCAGACAGAGCAACTCAGTATCCAGAAATTTTAGAGGTTTTCTATCRATTGCCAGCAGTTCTCTTGGCTTATATAGCAAGACCTTTTTGGTCTCCTCTTTCATCCCAGGATATTTCTTTCATTAAACTAAAAGTAACATTTCCAGGGAATGTGGTGTCCTGAAATGCCAAAGCCAGCTGGCAACTTGGATAGCTCTAATGTCTACATGGATTCTACTTAGGTAGATATTACAATAACTTGTACAAATCATGAAAACAGTTAGAAAACCCTTAAGTTTCTGTGACATCTATGTATTAAGGCAGTATAAATGTTTGCCATTTCTGAAGGGTGTTTCTTTAGAACTTACACAGTTGTTTAAAAAGACTTTTATTCACTGGTAGGTATTTACTGAACTCTACTAGCAAAGGCACTTAGAAAGATATACATCTCTGAAACTACCAACATACCTCAAGTTATTACATTGCTAAATAAAAATAAAATAAAGCAACAAAGCAAACTCAAAATGAAGGGTATAAAGGGTAAGTTCCATAGCTGTATTTAAGCTCAAAAGAATATTCCAGTTTACACATACATGTAAGACTGGCAAATATTTTAAAAATCCAGACCTAAGACTTCCAGAAAATTCCATGGAAGACCTTAAAACTTTGAGAGCAGGACCTCGGTCCTTTTACTGAAGGAGATTTCCTTTAATGTTGCCAGTGCTTAACATGATCATCTCTTCATGAATTGCAACATAAAGATGGAGTTAAGCATAGCATGAATTTCCATGTGCCAACCCCATAGGGCAGCATCAGATATGCTTCTCTGGTAACAACTGAGCTTCAGTATAACACATCCTTGCCTCTGCTGGCATAATTGAGTAGGCACCCTATTCCCTATTCTGGGCTTTCCGGCAAATAATCTGGTTAAAATAAAGTTCTAAAATGYTTTAAATACATTTTAAACGTTTTAAATAGTTTTTAGCAAACTAAAGTATTCTAAAATACCTCAGTAGTCCCAAAATACCTTCTAAAATACTTAATTTTAATACTTTTAGAGCTAAAAATATTTTGGTTCTAAAATACTTTAGCCAGGCTTCYTTTAACACCTTTAATCACTGTTTTCTGAAAAAAAAAATATGAATACAAGTGGTTTGTACCTCAAAGATTCATTTTACACCTTGGCACGCTGTGACTGCCTTTATTGGTGGCAGAAATGAGTAGGCAAAAACTGTACTAAAAAAAAAAAAATCCATATTTTCCAACCAAAAGAAGATGCCAGAGATTTCAACATGACTCCAAATTTAAGTTTTGCACACAGACAGAAAAATAAGATTTGTCAGGTTATTGTTTGCAAGAAAACATCACATTTAGCCTTTGACTCTGTGTTATTACCAGCTTTAGTGGCTCTCAGTCGCAGTAATYAGTTCACGAAGTGCTCTTGGTTACTAACTACCATGGTATGGTAGTTTTATTCTTGCAAGAGATCTGCATTAGCAGAGTTCAATTAAAGTTAACTCTAGAAGATAAGCAAGCAAGCAAGCAGTAGCAAACTCAGGGGCATAACCCTTCAAGGAAACATTTGTGATTAAAAAGAGTGAAAAAGCTGTGTTTTGAGTAATCGCACCTGCTTTRCTGTAAGCAAGCAATAATACATCTTTCAATGCGCATTTTGGGGGGTGAATTAAAACTCTTCCTAGGTCAGGCAATGATTCAGGGTCTACGACCACATGAGAAAACCAAAAGATTTTCTCTGTGCTTAGTGTTTGGCTATTCAACAGCTAGCTCACATGATTTCAGGCTCTGCWTTAAAACATAAAACTGACCACAGATTTCTTGTGGGAACAGTCAAAGTTTCCCAGTGAAAGCATATGCTTGGAAAGCTCAGAAAACAACATGGATCTGCCCAGATTCATTGAGCAAGAGCTTGCAATTTACCTAACTTGGAATAACCTGTTCTAAGCAAACATATGGTGGCTTTACTGGGTCAGCACGAGGACAGCTCTGGGCAGGTATTCACACCTTATTTCTCTCTTCCTCTGGTTTCTTCCAGAGGAGAATAGGACCTCCTTTCCTTTAAGTTGATGTTGACCATCATGGCTTTACACTGCCATGTGCACACTTCACAAAGCACAACTGTGTGCACTGTGCTTTGTCAGAAGGACAAGAGAAGGTAGGTAAAAAAGCTCAAGGATCCTCGCYATATCTCCTTGCAACCAAAAAATGAGATTCTCTACTTGTTTCCTCAGCTGTGGAACACCTGCCACCCCCCAGAACTGGTACGCCCAACRCTGGAGAAAACACTGAAGATCCTTCAGCTGGATTATGTTGATCTCTACATTATTGAGCTGCCTATGGCTTTCAAGGTGAAAATTGTTGTCCTAAAATTTGCACAGATAGCACACAATGGAATCTTTGTCTAGAGTCCTCCATCCAGTTTCCAAACCATGCTGAAAACAATATTTTGGYCAAATCATAGTCTGCTATATACACTGCCTGCATACATTTCTGTGTGGAGGGGGCTTATAGAACATATGAGAATGGTGTTGACAGCTGCAGGACAGGATCCTTGGAAGGACAAGGCTCTTCGCTGGGATTGAAAACACACTTTCTACACTGAAGAATTATTGTAAGTGAAGCAGTACATGTGTCTAAATCCTCTCTGAGCTAGGAGGAGAGAGTCACGAAGAAAAAGGTTCTAGCAGGAAAGTTTAGGGTGGGGGAGGGAAACAGGTAACAGAGGAGAAGAACCACCAAATGAGTTTCCTTGTTCTGCCCCAGAAACCAAGCAATTTCTATAGCACTAAAATTACTGGGAAAATGATGGTTACTATCTTAATCTCGTTAACTCTAGAGTGCTTCTCTCAGACAACTCTCATAGATGTTGTTTGGGACTGGGGACTTGGGACTGTTGGTGCCAAATATAGGGTTCTCTTGCCCTCAAATATCTGAAAAACTCCCTTCATTCTGCTGGTTCTGGAGAACTTGTCTCTGAGCTGACAAACCCTTCTAAGTGCAAGTGTCTAATGGATTGCACACCTCCACTGCATCAGTTCCCATGGATCCCTGACTTTTCCARTTCCCACCAAGTAGGACCATGCTTTATCGCTTGCCCTCTGCAAGTACATGATATAACAACATCAAAATTTGAAGACAGAGCCTCAAAACACACTTAACTGGCTTTGAACCAGCAGCATCCCTTTTCTTGGAGAGAATAGGACCAAGAAATTAGCTGGCTAATTGTTAGGGAGTAGGGGGAGAAGTAAGCTCTAAGCTGGCAGTATGTGTTTCTGCAAGGAAGCAGTTCTACAGTTATTAAAATTATACTCTAATTATGAGTATAATAATTATGGATTCTAAACTCCCAGAACCACTATAAAATAAAGGGTTGAGCCATGTAGCAATCACCTTAGACTTGCATTTCTTTTTTTTTTTTTCTCTGAAGGAAACGTTAAGACATGTATATGAGTAATTGGMCACGTATTAAAACTTTATTTCTACTGTCCCATCTATGGAATCCTTTTGGGTASTTTTTAAAAAAATTCCCACCGCTTGCAATTTCCTGTTTCCCCTTACTTCTGTTTGTATTCTTTAGTAGTTCATTCTCCCACATAGTGAAGGTCATTGTCTCACAATATAAAGATATAGACTTTAGGCTTTAAAGTAATGTACATCTGTCTCCCTGAGGCCTGTATCAACAGGCTGAGACACTAATAGCACCAGTTCTGGAACTTCACTCATGTCCCCCTTGAGAGAAGAAAAAACAAAGTCATTTTCTGCCTGAAAAAATATACATTTTCTGGGTGCCAAATATATATATATATAAACCCACTTTTTCAATGGTGACAGGTTTCCTGGTTTTGCTCCCTTTTTCTCTCACCCACACACTTCCCACATGTGGTATTTGCTTTTGGTGAGGAATGTTCAGGTATAACATACTCCTACTCTGCCCTGCTCTGTAAAAGTTAGCTACTTGAAAAAGCTTTCCTGTCTCCCCCAAAAAACTTTTAACAAAGCTGACCTCTGCATGAAATCARTGAAGAGCATGAGGCAAAGGCTGCAGTCCTACACCAATAAATTGGTGAGAAACTTGTCTCTGCAGGTCCCAATGATGCAAGCTCTCACAGGAGCTTTCAGGAAGAATGGGAGAAATACGTTTTCCAAGAGCACCGCTTGAAGGGGGAAAATGCCACCACTCCAGCACTCCATATGCATCAAAAATGGCTAATATCTGGAATTACTTTAAATACGGAGTTGCTAACACCAGTCAGCACTTCCCTATCCTTTCTTTTACACAAATTCCCTGTTCAAGACAACCAGCCTTCCCACCTTTCCTGCTCCCTAGTGAGCGCTCCTTCCTCACATTACACAGAGGTGGTTTTTCCACCAGGTGTGCTTGATGAGACAGGCACCGGTTGGGACATGCCTTCTCCTGGCCACTGCTTGCCTCTGCCCAGGAAATTCCTATCTGCTGGCACATTGTTTAGGTGGCTCCCTGGTCAGATGACTGATCCATCAATGAGCTGYTACTTGTGCACTAAATCACCTCTAGAAGTCCCTTCCAAACTGAAGTATTCTATGATCAAGSAGGAAAGCAGCTTATCTTAGCCTTATATTGAGTAAGCCTGTTGCCATGCAGCTCCCTGTAGGCTTAATGAGGRCTAATCATTGTGGAAACACACAACAGCTGGTACCTCTAGACTCAGTCAAGATAGGTTCATATCTAAGATACTTTCTCATCCTAACTTTGCTTGCTTTTTGGAACATGATTGGTAGTCATAGAGAAAAAGGGAGGGGTTGATAGAATTGCTAATCATTGATTAATATAAAAAAAAGTATTGTTGAACAGAAGTTAATGAATTAGAAATGGAACAGTCTAAGCAGTCCTGAATTCTGAGCTATCCCATGAACTCAAGGATGTCCATCTAGAATGAGCCTGTAATCTACGGATGGTCTATTGGGATACTATGGGGTGGAAGAGGATGTTCCAAAATGCTAGGAGTGGTTTTGCAAATAAGGCTTTTCCATCTAGGTTATGATGGCAAAGAGTATGTCTTCTAAATATTGAGAGAAAAAAATTTATCCAGCAGTCATCTATCTCCCTCTCGTCAAGTTTTTGGGTTTGGGGTTTTTGTTTTGTTTTTTTTCCACAAGACATAGCAACAAAGGCAGCAGGTCTTTGTGGAATTCATTGAGGAAAGCCAGCACATTTGGAGGAGACAGTCTTCTGGTTGCGACTTAGTACTGGTCTCTGAAATCTGAAGCCATGTTTTCCATAGGCTCACTTTTCCCATGGAATGTCTTGAATTTGAATTTCTTAACTGAATTGGGTGGTGCTCGTTGCAGATCATATTAGTCACAGATGCATGTTCCCAAGGAATTACCATGTCAACATCTTGTATACAGCCCTTTGAAATGTATCTGCCTGAAGTCAGATCAAGTATCAACCTTCACAGAAGAGTTTTCTTTGAGAAAAAAAATTGAAATTAGAATCAGAAATACAAAAGAGGAGGGCACTAAAGCATTATCTTCAGCAGCAGTGAAATGCCCAGCAAATAAGATCAAGTAATATTCTTAAGCATCAGATGTCAGCTCATAAGTCATCCCTGAAGTGCTGTTTATGCAGGACAGAGATAGGAAGAAAGAGTTGCTAATATCCAAAGAAAAACAGATAAAACACTTCAAAGGAATGCACATCCTGTATCTGTGCATTCAGCCTCATTTCTAGCCGTAGCTTGCAGAAATGGTCCCTCCAGCTGGAACGAGAGGCTGGGACTGATATTCTTCCCAAATACCTCTGACACAAGCAGGATGGGGCAGAGGAAAGGAAAGAAGGAAGGAGGGAAGGGGAGGAAAATAATATGTATATGTGTGTACATCAGTATTCTAACCCAGTCCTTTAGAAGAAAAAAAAATCCTTTGGATGACTTATCCTAAAGTTCACAAGTTTATTGAAAAATAAGGTTGTTCTGGAACTTCTGAGTACGCACTCATGTGATAGTTCAGAAGTGCATCCAAGGGCTTTCTACGATGGGCAGTCCCACTGAAGGATGTGGTAAGACCAGCATGAGTGACCTGTTGAACTTGAAGCATTTCAGACAGCATTTGAAATTTTGTTTTGCTAGTAGAAGCAGAGATTGTGGAAAAAAATCTTTGTTCTAAAGAGTGATTTTTTGGGGGGGGGGGGGATGGTTTGCTTTTCAGCCTGGTGATGCGATCTACCCAAGAGATGAAAATGGAAAATTTATCTACCATGAGACAGACTTATGTGCCACTTGGGAGGTAAGCAATCATAGCATTCATTTATGCTTTAAAGACCCAGATCCTCATTCTCTGCTTTACCTGGGGCTTCACAAGCTGACCTGAGGCATATTGAAAGGCCAAACGGATCAAATGCTACTAGCTCCATGGATAAATTTTGAYGTTTGCCTAGAGAGATGTTGCTTCTTGCAATCACTTAGTCTTAAAAGAGAAAGAGCACATCTAACATCCACTTTCCTTCATTCATACAGTGCATTTACTAGCTATCTGTAGCTTTATTACAGGCTGTTCTGCCTTTCAGATCTTTGTAGCAGGAGAAAGTTAGAGCCCCGAAGAAAGAAATGATTGGATCCTTCTCAGAAAGGAAAGTTCTTCACCTTCAAAAGAAAACAAAATTTGCCCTAAAGCTCACCGTTAAGATAAAATACAACATAAAACATCAGATCAAGTTCACTTACTTCTGATTTTAATTACCAAATGAAGTTGTAAARTTTTTCTACTACAAAAACCTGGAGGGAAGTTTTGTGAAGGATTGCATTCTGAATTTATCTGTGCTATGCTCAAAGCCTGTTGACAGATGTCTTACTAAGCCTACTGCCAATTGGTCTCAGAATCTCAGGTAAAACAGAAAGTGACAGTAGTAATCTCCTCACCTTCCTACCTTCTGAAGCCTTAGGTACTTTAAACCATGGCCAAAGCTGGTCACCTCCCCTTCTGCATCAGATGTGCTTCAAAAGCATCATTAATTCAGCATTAATTATGCTAAGAGCACCCCAAGGGCTACCAGATGCTCTACTTCAGTTTGCGCTGTCCAGAGCTGGATAGTCATGTTCCCATTTAGCTCTGCTTGAGGTTCAGTGAATACAAACAGATGCAGGAGGAGCTGAGTAGAGTTGCGGGCTGCAATGGAGCTCTTACTGTGGGCTTTGGTTTTCTCCTGGCAGCTGAGTCACCAGACAGATTTTAAGGTGGATAAGGATGGGGGACTCTGTTATCTGTTTATGTCATTCCATCTAGGGCTGATGCAGTTCACTGGCTTCTGATTCACAAGCCAGTTGCTCTGATGTTAAAAGCAACAGCTGTCTGAACAGTGTTATGTTTTTATCATCTAACTTGTGCTCATTGTAAAGGATATATTGTAGTAGCAATTCTCTCCTCAGCTAATAAGCCAGAAGAAAAATAGCTGGTGATGACTACTTGCAAATAATAGCTTCAATCTAAATAAAGCTTGCTAAACTCAATCCAGATAATTTCACTGTTTCAGCACAGTGTTAGCAAGCAAAAATAACTCCAGATGACTCTATTTGCTGACTTGTCACTGAGTGATACAAGGCATATGAGGCCAACTGGAGGTCAAATACATGGTGCTTCTTACCTCCCTGCTCTCAGTTCCTGTGAGATAGAAAGCAATAACAAAACTGTCACAAGAGGCCTTTAGCTCCAGTGGAGGAGACAGCAGCCGTGGGGTCTGCTCTGCCTCAAACAGGCACTGAATTATTTGTGTGCAGCCTCTGGGAGCACCAGGGAAGGCTGTAGCAAATGACCATTTCTCCAGTTAATGGCTCAGAAGATGAAGCTGATCAGGAAAGCTGAGGCATGTATTTATACCCTGTATTCATAAAGCTGCCTTAGCTATTAGGACATAGTTGAAAAGCATAAAATCTAGAATTTCTCTCTTCTTTTTCTTCTATTTGTACTGTACCTTTTTTTATGCCGCTTTTGTGATGTACTCTAACAGATACTTAGGTGATTTACCTAGGAAGAAACTTCATATAGAAAGTTTCTTCATCATGAAGTCAAAAGGAATGAACTGAGCTATTATGAAAGGAATCTGTTTTGTTCACTCTCCCTTCTTCATCTTTGAAGCAGTGCTAAAGCAGAACAAAATTAGCAAAACTCTTCAAGCAAGTATCTGACACTTAAATATCCATATCTCAACTGTATCTTTCGTCTTTCCAAATCCTGCTTTCATGGGAGTTATAAACGTTAGGGTTTAGTCTGGAAAGCGGGTCAGTGGATACACTTGTACTGAGATTGTACTAGCAGGGCGGCACGAGCTCTCGTGGTAATAGAGCTGCTGACTCTGCTACAGCAAGGGACTGTCAAGAACCAGACTATGCTCCACTTATCTCTAAAACATATATTGCAAGGAACCAAGTCAGAATTTGGGACTCCATCATTCTCTGCTTTCTTTTCAGGCTATGGAAGCATGTAAAGATGCAGGCTTGGCAAAGTCCATTGGAGTRTCTAATTTCAACCGCAGGCAGCTGGAGATGATCCTAAACAAGCCAGGACTTAAGCACAAACCTGTCAGCAACCAGGTATGACCACAAGCCAAGATCAGTGGCTGCAACAGTGTCACTGCTGTTTTGGAAAATGCAAAGGCAACACAACGTGTGGCCTAAGCTGCTGTGTACCGAATGGTGACGTATGGTTTGCCACAGCTGCTGCACTCCATTTCTAGCTTGAAAATATTACTCATGCTATTTAGGCTAAAGACAATATTTGAAGGTGCTGGAACAATCTCTCTCCTCAGTTCCTGCTCCAGGACTATAAAACTTGTGCCTCTTTGCCAAACTCCATAGCAAGCTTGGATGCCGAGTAAATGCAGGTTTTAAGTCTCTGCCATGTACCTTATTCCAAGCCCAAAACATTCCCAAGACAAACGATTCAGGGCTAACCAGTCATCAGTGAGGCTATGTTTACCTCAGCTGACACCAAACAAAAACAAGTCTATCAGAGAACCTGACTCACTCTCAGTTTCCTAGGTTTAACAGCCATTAGAGGTAACTCCTAAAATTCCTGGACTTGCTCTCTTGTGCCCTTTCCTTAAGAAGTTCAGTGAGAACTGGAGAAAAATCTGTTGACAAGGAGATCCCCTTAAGACTTGAGCTGAATCTGTGAAGAGGAGAGGCAGGTCTTTGTTTTATGAAAGTAGGGCTCAAAGATGGAGGTAAGTGGCAAAGACTGATCCAAATGCTCAGTACCATTGATTCTGGCATTTAGTAGTTCATTGTACTTGTAGAAGTCACAGAGAAACTTTTCTGACTCCTCTGACACAAATGAAGATTCACATTAGCAATAGCAGAGGAGACAACAAAGACCACCTAAGAAAAGCAGAATCTTGCCACCCACAGCTTATGACCTGGAGAACTGGAACCTGTACCAGGCAACACAGGGAGGCTGACCATAGACTTCATTGCTGTCTTTTGCCTACAGAGAAGGGACAGCCTGCAAGAGAATGAAATTTCAACGTCTATTGCTAGTATTAATATGGGTGCAAAATGCAATTGCTCTCTCTGGAGTGCCCCTAYGACTGTACTAAGCACTGCTGCAGCTTCCTGATATCAAGGGAAACTGGGAAAAAGGTTAAGCCTAGCTTAGGACTTTGCACCAAGCAACTGAAAACAGTGTTTGCTCTATCATCTTGTGGATCTCTCTCTCCCAGAAGTTGAGAACACAACCAGAAAATCCCTACCTATAAAGGAATGAATAATGCACAGCATTTGCAATAAATATAGGAGGATAAGGCTCATAACAAGATATTATAGAGATGTCTCACATTTCACATACTCCCCCTTAGCTTTCTGTCTGGGTCAGCTTCACGCCAACGCTTMCCCTAAAAACAATCTCAGATTAGCCATCATGAATGCAAGACGCAAACAAAGACTCAAATGAGACGGGGATGCTTCTCAGACTCTGGTTACCATCCTCCAATAGGAACAATATATTAGAGAATGATAAAARTTGTCCGAAACCAAATTACAACCACAGATGTTAAACTACTGCCCACTAACATCAAATCAAACCTAATCCATCATTATCACTCAGTGGGGATGATTAGAACAGTAATCATAGAGTGAGTTTACCTATTCCTGAATTTCATGATATCTTTTCCTGCAAATTGAAAGTAATGYCTCATTTGTAACTCTCACATACATTAGGACATCCACTTCTATATCTAGTCATATGAATTAATCATTCTTTCTGCATTCTCTTGTAGGTTGAATGCCATCCTTATTTCACCCAGCCCAAACTCTTAGAATTTTGCAGACAACATGACATTGTTATTGTTGGGTACAGTCCACTAGGAACCTCAAGGGATGAAACGTGGTAAGTCAGCATGTTTATTTCTAGTAGTAGGGCCACTTTATGTGTGAGGAATAATAGATTTCCGGGGCTAGATCTCTGCAGAGTCTCAAAATTCTTTTGAGAATGTAGACTTCCAACACTGCTGATGTATTCTATTGTCAAGAAATGCCAGGCARAAGTAGTTTTGCTATCAAGAACCAAGTGGCTGTAACTGAGAATGCTGAGATTTGGATGAGAAGGTGCAATATGAGTCAAYGTTAAGACATCAGATAGGATGGAGGACTGTCAAAGTCATCATCTTAAGTGTCCCAGAGCTTCTTTTTCATCTTCACACTACTTATCCAAAGGTGCTGCATTATGTCCATGCCATAAAGATGGCAAGATAATTTCTTTTTCTCATTTTGTTCCAGGGTAAATGTGTCCTCTCCTCCTTTGCTGAAGGATACTGTGCTGAATGCCATTGGCAAAAAATACAACAAGACAGCAGCACAAATTGCTTTGCGTTTCAACATCCAGCGAGGAGTGGTAGTCATTCCAAAAAGTTTCAATCCACAGCGCATCAGAGAGAATTTCCAGGTAATTCCTCATTCGACTGGTGCATGCATAGTTATACTGGCTTGGCTCCTGTGGAAGGTCACTTCCAAATTTCTGTAGACAGAAAGTTTTATCACTGCCAAGCTTTGTCAAAATTGATCCTTTTTGTCCTTCTTTCTTAATGCTACTATGATGCAGCAATGATAATGCAAAGTAGAGAGGAAATTCTGATGACTCCAAAACCCTGTAAATGACTAAAATTCCAGCTGATAGTATATACTGGAGCACCAGTTGTTCCTCTGAGCAACACAAGTGAGATCAAGTGTTTGACAGGTCCACAGTCTCGAGKTGCTGGCTGTAGGTGTTCAGGAATGACAGTTTTTTTCCACCCCATATTCAGGCATGGTTCAGCTGTGTTATTGAAGAGAAGATGGTGTACTCTGGTATACCAGAAATGTTCATAGMCATCAGGAAATGTTTAGCTTGACACTACCCATCCAAAACATGYACTTCTCTGACTCTTGTAGCACTCTGAACTGTGCTGATCCTCACTTTCCCTACCAAGATATTGCATTTGAAGCCAGCAACCAGCAGTTACCAGACTGCCATTCTCTTCTTGGAAGAGAACATAGCCAATGTGACTAGACTTACTCATGTCTTCAAGATATGCATATACATGAAAGCAATTCTTTTTTTCWTTTTTTTCCTGGACTTCCAAAATCTGAAACATAATAGTATTGATGTTTTTTGCAACAAATGCTAACTTATTCCTAATATTTCCTTACATTAGATCTTTGACTTCTCTCTCACTGAGAAAGAGATGAAAGAAATTGAAGCTCTGAACAAAAATGTCCGTTACGTGGAACTGTTGATGTAAGTCCAGGATAAACCCTATATACTTACTGAACACTCCTGTTTTCTCAGAAACTCTCAAAAATCATTTGCTTTTAATATACTTTATTTTTGTATAAACAGTCTTMCTTTAAGGTCTGACTTGAATATCAAAGAAAATGTGAGAGCTATTTAATGCAGTTTTCAATATGTACATGGACCACTTGCAAAAACAAATGCACAGCACTTTCTTACAGCTCAGATTTCAAAAGCCCATCTAGTAGAAGATGACTGCATCTAGGTGTCTGTTCTGTGCTCTGTCTCCTTAAGCACTTTCTATCTTATGCTGTAATGTATATCCATCTAGGTGGCCCTGTCTAGCCACAGGCTATCAGAAGTCAGCTTCAAACTGGCTTCCTTTCCTGTCTTTCCCCTCCTAGCACTCAGCAAGTCATGTTGCAACACAAGTGCTGTTGCTCGTTGCTGTAGCTAGTGTTTCCATAGGCAACAGGTAGGTAGGTCAGGTAGAAAGCTAAGAACTAAGCAACATTGTCTGAATCCGCAACAGTACCTGAAACCTCAGGGCTAGCTCAGGGAGACCTCTATTCCATCTCACTTACGATGGTTTGATCAGAGAAATGAAATTTGCCTGCCTACCCTTCTTGTAAAACATGATGCATCTTACTGACCACAAGAGGTCAGAAACTTAGTTTCTACCTTTCACCTGARGTTGACTTCTTGCAATCTGCCTCTCCTGCTGTCACAGTGAGTTGTGTCTTCCAACACGAAAGGCACAAAAACCTGCAGGTCRTTTAACTACTAAATCACTTCCTAATGATCCCTGGGAACTAATGAGGCTTGATCTCTCGCTGCTTGTTATCTAGACCTTACCAACCAAAGCAATTTTCCTTCACTTGTAAGATGGACTTCTCTAGCAAGCTAAGATTGACTCAGGGTCTGATATTCTGGAGAATAAGGCCATTTGTTTTTCCTACAGCTCAAGACCATCTACAGTTTGTGGCCAAACTCTATGCGTTTCCTTTTTCCAAGGCATCAATGTGTAACCAAATGCTAAAGGGATTGATTTCCATTAATTTCTCCTGTAACATTGGATTATCTGTTTCTTGCCAAACTCTAATGTGCTCAAGCATTAATAATAATAAAAAGTGGGACAACAATTTCAATAGCACTCTAAAACATTGACTCAAAGGATGGGCAGTAATGTTACAAAGACACAAATAAGCCACTTAGCGTACTGCAGAAATATGACTGGAAATACAAACCTGGTTAAAGCACCGTGATTCAGTTCACTTTTCACATTTAAGTTCAGCCAGGTGCTCTGAAGCTTTAGCTTCTTAAATTTTAAAATAGCTTTCCATCAATTATCAAATCTTATTTCCAGAAGTCTTTTTCACATATTGCCTAGCAAATTCTTATGTGTATATCGGTACTGGAAATTCTTTGTTTTTTATTGCTAAGTTTTGAGCCATAATATCATTTAAACGTTGTTAGTGAGGATATAAATGAAAAATAACCTTGGTACAAATCCAGGAATCCTTTCCAGAAGCAAAGTTAAAGGATGGAAATGCCCACAAGAGGAGAACTCCTAGGCCACTCATCCAAAACTAATAAAAAGCAAATGTTTTGCTTTATTAGAACAAGCTTTGTGATGGAAACCTGCTGAGAATAAGAAAAACAGAAAATATAGAATATATATCAGTAGCCATATTTTTCACAGAAGTACCAGATTTGGGGAAAATAGTTAACTATAATCTGGCTTCAATGGTGAATAATAGCTTCTYGGAAAAGTGAGGCTGCCATGTAAGGAACAGTTAAATCTGTATTTGCCAACCAGTGTCTTCTTACACTAAGAATCTGGAACTGACATTGCAACAGATGACTTGCCAGGATAGAGAGCTTTCTTCTTTCATCCAGCAGTAGGTATCTGAAAAGGTCAAACCATCATACAGCAAAACTTCTGATTAGTCGACTTTGTTGAAAACTTTTCCTTCCTGTGATGCAAYTGAGGTAGGAATGGAAAAATCCATCTTTTCTATGGCTCTTCCAGCTATCAACTAACATAGGTATTGCATGGAAATCTCTTGTTACAATAGCGTGGGTGCTGGATTACCAGTAGTGTGAGTATATTCCATTCCTATGTGCATTCCTATGGCATTAACCAGAATGTGTTAGAAAGTTAAACACCTGATCAGAAAACAGAGGTTTTGCAGATATATGAATAATCCAGCAGATAATAGTCTGAAATGGTTTCTTTTCCCCTTGGGAAAACAGGAAAACATATTATGATTGATGAGTTTTGCATTAATCTACTTGATCTATTCTCCATCTCATGTATTCTCCTTCTCTGCTATAGATATTCTTCCTTGCTTGGACCAGTTATTTGAAGCCACATCATCTCCTTTGTGTGAATCATTTTAGTACATAAGAGCAAGACCTGAGAACATTTAAGACAGATCTGATTAAACAAGCTTTCTCTACAGATGGAAAAGAGAGATTAAGACATTGTCAACCCAGACATTGTCAAATAATACTAGGAGGGGGAAAAATATAAAATATTAAAAAAAAAAAAAAACACCAAGAACAAACCCTAAAGAGCTGTGGCTTGTTTTTTTGAAGTCAATCTGTTAATGTGTAAACAGTTCGGCTTGGCTGAATATCAGAATGAAATGTTTTGACACAACCATTTTAAAATGTTTGATGCCTTCCAGTTAGCTAACTTCAATATTGTGAAATATATCCTTCCYAAATTGGAACAAATACAGCTGGAACAATTGCCAGCATTTGATGTGCTTTACCGTAAGGCAAGGCAGCCAGCTGCCACAGTGCACCTGAGAGGATTCTCCAGAAGCTTATTTGCTGATGGAAAATGTTTGTCAAGCCAGTACCTGTAGTTTAGCATCATCTTCTCAAAAAGCAACYGTTTCTCTTCCCAGTCTGTCAAGTTATGGACAAAGTGAGTCTCATTTTCACCTGCAGTTGGCCCTGAAAATTCACCTGTTCACTTGTATAACATTCCTGCATCATGCATCTGAAAATGCAATCTCTATGAAGTCCAAAATGTCTCTCTACCTTTGGCAGTATGTAACCACAAATTCCCTTTTCTCCCCCACAATAGGTCTCCTGTAAACTCACAGTGCTATTACCTAGGCAGAGCATCTGCACCTAGGTAGCTAGTAGACTGGGACAGGGACACGTATAGCCTGGATACGGCAGCCACACGGAGAAATSACCATGACAGACCAAGACCAAGACTTTCTCATGCCAGTTCTAAGCGCATAAGCCAAAGCAGTACAAGATTTCTTGTCAGATCTGCTTCTCCCTTATTCAGACTTCAGCTAAGAAGACTTTCTAGATATTTGAACATAGAAGTATTTCCTCTTCCAACACACATACATATATAGCAAAACCTTTCACTTTCCCTACAAAACTTCCACAAGTACAGGTTATATCCACAAATAGCGTGAGAATAACTGACCTCCAAAATCCTTCTCTCCATCTTCCTTCTCTATCCTCCTCCCATCACTTACCTTTAAGAAAAGGCCCATAGGCYTGGGGAAAAAAAAAATTGTGCTCTCCTAAAAGCATTCTGTGAACACTGGGTATTACAGGGAAGAGATTTTCTAAGCAGAAGGCAATTGCATCAGGGACACAACCTCTTGTTCCTTCTGAAAAGCTCACTTGTTCAACCTGAACTCTCCACAGGTGGCGCGACCATCCGGAGTACCCCTTCAGTGACGAGTACTGAAAACAAAGTGCATCCAGGCAGATTCCTAACTCGACGTCGTTAGACTTCATTGAAACCTACCCCATGTTTGGTGCTTCAATTTTATGGGAGATTGTAAAAATCAGCATTAAAAACATGAAATTTGCCTCCTGTTCTGTTGTCAGTCCTTCATTGCTACTGAAAAGTAGCGCCATTTAAGCAATTGAGGTTTTTTTTTTTTTTGGGGGGGGGGGGGTGCTAGTTAGAAGCACCTGTGAGCATTCACTAAAACTGAAGCTCTCTTTTGGAAACAGGTTCACTAGCTGAGTCATGTTTATTCTATGAAGATAATTCTATATGAGATATTCACTGAATTTGAAACAAGAATTCATGTTTCAGTAGATGTGACGGTGCCGTTTTCGCTTGACAARTTCAGGTGAAAAAGTTAGGAGAGGGCCCTGACCAGATTAAAAATWTGTTAAATAAACAAGTTCCATTCTGGCCACAGAGTCTTCCATCCCTCTACACCAGCTGCGTTCCTTATATTCCACATGCAACTAGTTCAGACCCTAAATCATTGATTCCATGCTTATATTCCCTGTCACTCAGCAGAAGAGCTTTAGTGAAATGCAGGCTGGTCAGCAGCTCTGTTGCATCTATGCTTGAGCATATACAAGGATGGTATTGCATAGTGTTGACTTGCTACACTTTTTATACAACCTGGTATTGTCAGCCTGGAGCTAGTGCTAAYGTAAATACTTTGAGTCTAATCAAGATAAAAGCCACTTAACCATCTTTATCGCTCCACTAATGATAATTCCCTGAAAAAATGTCCATTCACTTCCTAATTCTGTATGAATTCTTGACCAAGACATCACTGAATCAGGAAACTAATTATTAAAGAGGGAGAAAGTTACTTTTAATARCATTGTCTATCATGCAGAAATTGTGGAATACCAGCAGTTCCCAGAAAGTGTAGGGAATGAGGAACAAGGAGCCAGCCTGAACCCAGGCCACTCATTTGAAACTGCCATAGCTCTCTGAAAAGAAGAGACTAAAATGTAGACATCAGCATAAGAAAGGGTCTAACTCATTCTACATGGATTTCTTTTTCAGAACTCCTTTGCTAAATAAGTTGCTTTCCAGCCAAAACTTGAATCTGTAGAAGGCTATTTTCCTTTCCTGCAGTGCTCAAGCACTCCAGTTTCCCACATTATTGGGAATAAAACATTAAAAAGTGTTGAGGAAGAGACTAAGCCATACAGAGAGACATATTTTTGACCCACTTCTCCAATGGCAATATGCAAGTTTAAGTACCTGAAATAATCAGCATCGGCTTATATTTATTATCATCATCCCTCAAGGGACAAGGTTAGGAAAAAGGGGGAGCTGCAGCTCATGGAGATACGTCTGTTGTGATGTGGTAGATACTCAGCAGAGCTGAAGTAAAGAGGTTCAGGGATGACATTTCACAGAAACAGCATTCAAGACTTTCAAATGGGTCTAATGATAACCCAGATTTGGATGAGGCTAAATGGGCTCCTGAGAAATCCAGGCTCTCCAGGGAAGACAGTCTTTGCATACCATTTATAAATCCTCAGCTATGTCAACGAAGGAGAGCTCTGCTTGTTGGATGTTACCCAAGGGTTAACCAAGGTCATCCCATTTTGTTCAGTCACCCAGATAGACTGGGAAAAGGAAAGAGGGTGATGAAGAGGAGGAGATAATAGAAGTCTGCCAGGTATAGACTAACAAATCTTCCCCAAGGTCAGATGGATCTTGCTSTCATGAGCAGAACCTCTATCACAGCCCTCCTGCCTTGGAGCATCTGAGGGTCTGGCCAAGAACTTATAATATCCATGCTGCTATATCCAGCACGCTTCTCCTCTTGCTTCATAAGTACAAGCATTAAATAGAGTTATAGGGGCTTCATTACCTAGCAGTGGCACTGTGCAAGTTTTTGCATTGTAACTTGACCAGGTCCAGGACTCTGAATGAAGCCAAGACCTCAGGCCAGCTGTGAGAAAGCTCTTGTACTCCAAGCTGAGCAATTAATGTCCAGCTTAAATGCTCACACCAAACTCTTCCCAGCTATCTGCTGCTTTCAAATATCCTCCACAAAGTAGGCAGTATGTAAGGCTCTAGTAAGTCAAAACCCTTTCATGTGACCTTGTAAATGTGAGCGAAGAAGATAATAGAGCAAAGACTCTAAGAGGAAATACTCCACAGTCAAGTCTTCAATGTATGGAGTTAATATGCAGGACGGATTGTGAGAGTTCCTCTGGTCCCAGTACTGCCAGCAAATCCTTTTTTAATTTTTTTTTTTTTTTAATTTTAATAGAATCCTCCTCCTCCTCCTCTGTCTTGCCTCATTTAAATCTAATGAAAAGGATTCAGCCTTTTCCCGGGGCAAATGCTCCCATGCTCGTTTTCATCCGTTATGAAACTGGTACTGACGTCTAGCCTAGATTTTTCCCCGCTTTGCTCAGTTTCAGACCGTTGCTCCCCATTGTTCTCCATCTTGCTCTACAAATAAAAGGTTTAGAGGAGGGAAAACAAACAGCCCTGCAGATGGGCCTTGGGAAAGACATTCCACCAGCCACTGCACAAAGAGATAGAAAAAACCCGAGCCCCGGCTCCACATACCCTCCACTCGCATCTAGCAAATTTGAGAGTCCTATTTAACGCTCTGCCTGATGTGAAACACGTCTCCTGGGGGCACTGCATGCAGTGCCGCTCCAGCTGGATGGGTCAGGCATGGGCAAAAGGGRCTCAAGAGGAGAACAAATCTGCAGTGAGAGAACTTGCTTTTATTCTAAGTGACCCGAGTAGTCCATGAYTCTTCTCATAACTGCAAAGTGAAGCGAATAACCAGACCAAAGTAGTTTGCCCCAACTTTGTGGAGGTGACTTTATGCACACAGAAGGACAACTAAGGCAGCATTTCAGATTCTTTTTCAGTCCGAGAGCTGCTATGGCCTGGCCACAGAAAAACCAGGTGATATTCTCCTGGTCACAGCAACAGCAACTCAGTTGCCACAAATCTGTTTGAGAGTATGGGCTTATCAGAGGAGGAAGTATTCCCTGCTCATTATGCCAGCTAGGAACAGAACACAAGGCTTTGTGATGGACAGCTGAGCTCTTTCTTGGGCATATGCCTATTCATGTTCAATAAATGAAAGAAGAAAGGAAGYACTAACAGTTATCATGCAACACACTGATATTACCCATCTACAAGATACCGTGAGTTGAATTTGTTTCCTCRCGAAACTAAGGACTAAGTACCTGGGCGCGATCCCTTTGCAAAATGGATGCATATTCCCACCTTTCTGAGTCCTGTGGGTGCCCACAAGGTGAACAGGGTAAGCAGTAAGAGGCGGAATGGGATGGGCCCTGCATGTGTTTTACAGCCTTTAATCCAAAGGGCATTCTTTAATATATGTTACACATCTTTGTGCCACGAAGCTATTGAGATAGTTTACAAGGGTCAGAAACATGCGGGAAGACAGAGGATTTTTACACATTGCAGCATTTGTGGGTCTTGTAGAGGTATTAAATAGCACRAAGACTGCTACTATTTCTAGTTAAATCACCCTATAAGCAGAATTACGTTTATTTTTCAGTTAATTTTAAGTGTTTCATACAACAAACTGAAAGAACAGTGTGGAGGCAAAGCGAGTGTTTGTAGACTCAGAGAAGAGAAAGTAGATGCTGGGGAAATGCTAAACCTCCCTCATGTCTGCCTAAGTAGAGAGAAGACAGATTTAAATCCCTCATATCTTGTTCAATAAGACCAACGTCTAGATTTAAGATAAGCCACCACTTTCCTCATTGTGAAGTGCACCTCTCGCTGCCTGTTGCCATCCACCAAGTCAAAATGCTTTGAAATAAATTGTTTTGGCACTTGCAAGACAACTCCCTTACTTTCTGGATAAGAAAGGATGGAGCTGCTATTTTCGCACATATTTTGTCCAGTTCTCAACAACATGTATTTCGTAAGTTCCTATAAAAAAAAAGCATTCAGAGAAAGAAGAAAGTCTGTAAAAGAGTGACACATTAGAATGAGATTCAACATGCTCATTTCACTTGTGGCCTAAACTGCAAAGAGATTTGCCTTTTGGGCACAGAGTATCAGCACACAGTTGGGTACTAAGTGCAGTTTTTATACAAATTGATTCTTAGAAGTACCATATTTCAGATCTTTCCAACACCCTACTATCCCAGAACTAAAGCCTTAGCTTTTAAAAAGCATTTTGAGAATGCAAAAACAAATAAGTTCATTTCAATTTTTCAATGCCAGGCAGACTCCTTAGGGAATCTTAGCTCAATATGTATGAGCAATACTCACAAGAGGGCAACACATTGCAAATAAAACACAAAACAGAAACAAATGGGGAAAAAAAAAGAGGGAGGGGAGGGGAAAAAGGGTGGAAGAAAAAGCATACACATGGGTGGGTAAATACACATGCAGAGAGGAGCACTACTCAAAGATGCTKGGTTTTGCTCCTCAGACACCAAAGSTACCTAGTTGGAGGCACAAAATCTGTCTAAGCTCACTGGACATAGCAAAGTCAAAATTCTACTCTGGGATTTTCTAGACAAGTGAAATGAGAGCTCAGGTCAGCCTTGAATGCATCTCCAAGTAGCCTCACTCATCAAGTGGAAAAGCCTGTGCAAATGTAGGCTGCTTAGGGCACTGGATAGGCTCCTGGTATCATACATTTAYGCATGTATGAATGAGGAGCAACAGCTGACTCAAGACTTATGCCAGCATAGAAGCATCAGACAGAGGTCCTTATTACCAGGAAAATCACCCAAAATTTCTTTTCCACCCCAGTTAACCTGGCCAATATCATTCCTCCAGGTTGAGAGAGAAACTGAGTAAAGCTTACACATTTTTGGTTTTGAATGTTCTCTCAGGAAAACCTCTTCATTCCTTGTGCCACCTTGCCTTAGCTTCCAGCTACAAGGTGTAAGAGTGCTGTGAGAGAGGTTTGCCAGTCAGGTGTTCCCTACAAGCCCAGATGTTCCAAATTTGTGCCCCCATATAGTCCAGAATAGGCCAAAGTTGTTGTTTAGCAGCATYGTCTGCACTGCTTCTCGCTGCTTATCCACAGAGTAGGACTAGCATC